GCAGAGAAACTCATATCCTACCGCATCACATTTTGATTGGTTGGTAAGCTATCATTAGCTTTTTAGTTGACTTCAAGCTTCACAGAAGGGAGGAGAAACATCCAAGTGAGAAGAATTCGGAAGGGGGAATATAAGAGTGATTCACAGATGTAAAGGAGACAGAAAGGCTCAGAAAGGGTAAGATGAGTACTGTGTAGGGATCGAATATGAATATCTGGAATTGCCCTTTTCAAGAACTTCTACGTCAGCATATTCCGCTTACACATATATGGATATCTTATGCATTTCATTTGATATTTGTTGTGATCTGCTCTATGAAGCACTGTGCCTTGCTTTATGCTAATTTATAGGTCTAATCATCCGATGTGACCTAGGCAAACTCAAACTTCCCTCTCCTCCTACCAATGCTGTATTTTAAGTTCCGAAACATCAGTGGGGTGTACGATTTGGGACCTTGTATTCACTTGAATATTTTTTCAGCGCCTCAACTGTATACGAACACTCGCTTTCACCAAAACGATCTTCCGATGTGCAAACCTGTATTACAAATATCGACATTATTTTGCCACAATTATTTCTTAGGGTTGTTCCAATAAGTCGGCACCTTCTTTCCATCTTTTTGTACAGCAAAGTTTGAAATAAGCGGGAAATGTTAAGGTCAATTGAGTTTTCCGAACCTAGGCACCAGACTTCTTGGCTTCTTTAGTTTCCCGTTATTCTAGCCAATTACCAGACGATGATGAAAACAAAGGACTCTTCGCCATTACTTGGCCCATGCTTACTGGATTCCACAGTCATCTGTTTGTATTAATCATTGCTTCCCTCCTAACATTTTGTAAGGTGGAATTAATAGCTGCATGCCACTAGTGGCATTTAAGATTCCCTTACTTAGACTTACCTCTACGTGGTGTACCCTAGGCAATGTATGCTCATAAGACAAAAAAGTCTATTAACCAACAGTTGACTTTTGACTTTAAACTACCATCACCCCACTGTATGTCATATTCGACCCCTTACACAGTACTCACCTTACCTTTTTCTCTACCTTTGTGTCTATCTACCTCTTTTACATCTGTGAATCGCTCTTCTGTTCCCCACCCCTCAACTTTCTGCTACTTTGATGAACCTTCGCCCTGTGAAGCCCGAAGTCAACTAAATGGCTAATGATATCTGTCAAAACGCCTGCCATTTGAAATAACTAAAAAAATAAATGTTGGAAAGAATGTATGAGGCCAAACACAAGGCCACTTTCTTTGTTATTGGGTATTTAAAAGTTTGGCCCTTTTTGCAAAACCCACAAACATGTACTAGCTCTTGAAAATATAATGGAAAGAACGTTAGACTAGCTATAGCGCCAATGGTTCTCTGTTTTATTTTGGCCAATTTTGGGTCAAATTAATCAAATAGTAGTTTCGTCTACCTCATATATCCCTATAAAAACGGAGTATAAACATAGCATACTACTTTATATTTGCGAGTAGTCATTAAAGAACACATCGAGATTTTGCGGAGTATCGGTGGCCTCCTGGGTATAGGGATCATGTAATAATAACCATTCTTCTCATCATCGGCAATTTTTTTCTTGTATAATTGTGGTTGTTTGACGCATTGTATGTGGGCAATTAGATGAATAAATCGAAAATATTTGCACGCTTAAATCATGTCAAATCGTAATCTTTCCTAACATAAAGGCGTATTACACCATTTTGTACACACAGTGAAACCTTCACTACTACGAGCATACGCAAGGGTCACAGAGCTCAATTTTCCCCAGGAAAAGGCAGCAAAATTAACGTCTGACTAAGACACTGAAATTTCGGAATAAAATGAAACATCCCTGATATGAGCAAACTGTCCTGATGCTTTTCTGACGAGGAAAACTCCTTCCAGGACGACAGCCAGAGAGAAAGTTGGATGTGGCTTGGTTTGCACCCAGTCCAAATGACACTCCTCAAGCCAATCAAAATAATTGCTCCTCCAACTCTAATAATTTTAGGATATGTCCACCTCCGAGGACTGTGCTGCATCCCGTAACAATTTTTCAAACAGGGGTTTTGATTAAATTCAGATGCCATTGCAGAATTATCGACCTCTGTACTGGTAGCCAATAATGGGACATAGATATGACAGGAGTAGAAAACTGCCATCTTGCCTCTCACAAGGAAAAACTAGAAATGATTAGCAGGACTATTTTGAGAAGGACAGTAATCACTATGCCGGTACTACAAAAGTCAATAATTTAATTGACATAACTAAGGCAGTTCCTTAAAACCCTTCCTAATGCAAGTTTATAATCGGAGTTCGATGTCGGGCAGGCTTGAAGTTGTAGTAGACGTTGAATATGGTTGTCTTGGAACTAACACTTTTTTAATGCTACAATTTTTTCATTTCTATTAAATTTGTTTTCAATCTTTTTCTTTGTCCTGATGATCTTGTCAAATTTACTCCCATTCGATATAGGAGTGAAGTTTGAGAGTTAGAAAACAAATCGAATTCCTTTTGGGGTACATCATCCACGGTCAGCTGAACTGAGATTCTGTGCGAATTCGCCTCATTAAAATTGGGCATTTAACCCCATTTAATCCACAACATATATCAGGGTGGAATTCGATGAAGGCTTCAATTGTCGCAGACACCTGTCATTTATGGAAGTGAAGCGGCATGCTAACCTACGGGCAGATTTATTAGATCAGCGAAGACAAAGAACAAAAATCACTTTTATGTAAAATCTGAGGGCTGAATTTTAATCAATAGTCAGCCAGATGTCAGTTATATTCCGACATTTAGTAACTTTGATGAGGTAAATGAATACCAGATGGGGGGAGGGGAGTTGAATTTGTTCACCTCGGGAAGGAGCGCTGAACTCTATGCTGGTTGACGTATTTCAAATTTTTTTATTCTTACCGAAATGACCTCGAGATAATAACCCGCAGAACAGCTGAGGTAGAGAACGTAGATGCCATTAGCATAGGAGAAGTCTACCGTAAATAGTGCTGCAGATATCTGCCCAAACTAGGCAAATTCATTGTATTGCTTGGTCACACTACACACTTTGTTCAAGTTCCTGTTGTTCAAATATGATTTTAAAATATTAATTTCTTACATTATTTATTAATTTATTCCCCAATCCTGCTACCGCATTGGTAAAATTTGAATTTGGTGGATAGATTAAATAGCAGGGGTCCATATGTTGACTAAACCTGAGAGACGTATGGAAAAATTACAAGCCAGAGCTATCTTATCATTTATGAACAATTCAATTTCAAATTGACATATGAATAGGTTCGTTACAAAATATTAAATTATAAAAGGGATTCATACAATAGATCTGTTCTCTTTGTTCAAATACCACCCCCCCCAGTGCCCTTAATGGGCTTGTTAGCGAGGATATTCTGCAGCAACTCTAAAAAAGAAGATTGAGATTCTTCCCACATCCGGTTTTCGTGAGTTGGCATTCCCCATCAATAGTATTGATTATTTATTTATTTCAACTGGCAGGCGTTTTGACAGTTATCATTAGCCCTTTGGCTAACTTCGGGCTTCACTGAGGGGAGGAGGAACATCAAAATGAGAAAAAGTCGAGATGGGAAGCAGAAAAAAAGATTCAAAGATGTAAAAGAGACAGACACAAAGTAAGATGAGTACTGTGAAATGGTGTAATATGACATACAATCAGAAGTCAACTGCTGGTTTATAGAATTTTTTCAGTATGAGTATACGTGGCCCAGGCCGCACCACGTGGAAGCAAGTCCATCGCACGCCCCTCAATAATACTGATTTTCAATAGTATCAACCACGTGATTTCTGAAAATGGACTCGACTTACCGAAACAGTCACGATTATTGATTTTTTTGCATTTCTGTTTTCATTGACAGGACATTTTTTGTGCTTGAATTTTAAGCTTTACAAGGAGACCAGCTAGGCCAGTTCCTTATATGAATGATAAGTACACAAATAAGGAATTTTTAATATTGGGACTAATAGAAATCCCTTCAACTTTCAAGTCTACATTCCTTAAACTGTGTTCTTTCGAATGACTGTAAAATCGGAAAGACTTTTTCACCATTAATTTTAGGCCAATTAAGGCGAACGCAATTCTTCCATTTGTGTCTAGGCAGTTGATCTATGCCAGGGAATGAACCTTTGTCTTAGTGCGAGGATCAAAACAATGTCGGAGTAACACAGAACCACACGGGATTTCAAGTGAAAGCCGACGACATCTGCTGGCTATCTTAAAAACCCGTCACTGTAAAACAAATGAGTTTACCTAATTCTTGCGAATTTCTAGGGGTCACTTTAATGTCCCGAAGGTGACCTATCAGTATCACATGCACTGTGACACTCGGATTCCTTTTATGATATTTGATTAAAATCTAATTTCCTTCCTTCTAATTTAAATTCAACCACTGAAGCCCAACCAACATCATCCATATCAGCAAGAGAAGAAAACGAATCCTTTGAACCCTGTTAATTGGGACGTACATTTTCTTCATAATTGTTTGGAAAATTATGTAACCCCTTCACCAAAATGGTACATTTGATATGATCTTTTGTTAAAATAGACCAAGTAAAAACATTCCAGCCTGCCATATAATATCTCTTAAGTGGGCAATTTAAAATTAAATGTAATCGCGCATTTTGATAGATCAGCATATATATTTGAATTCAGCTCTCAAAAACAAGAAATCGTAAGCGCAGATTCCGAACAAACTACACTGCAAATAGCACATGTATATATATAGTTATGTACAAGCACTAAAGCCTCCCTCCTCCAAACCAACCTGAGGGGAGGGGGGAGGGAAGGAGGGAGGGAGGGAGGGAGGCAAGGAAAATCTATGTACAAGTTGAAAAAGGTGGTTGGGGTGGGGGCGGGGCGGGGCGGGGCGGGGNGGGGCGGGGAGGAGAGGAGGGGAGATAAGGTTGACAATAAGTAGGCTGCATATGATTAACACAACTCCACTGATTCAATATTGTAAGTTTTGGGACATCTCATAGCACTTTTACCGGTACAACACGATACACATGATGACTGTAAATAGTAGCATGGAATCTAGAAACAAAACGCACATTTTGTTGATTACGAAGTATGAACCATAAAAGTGGAAGTAGACTGATATTTACCTCGATGCAACCGACTGCTCCCAGCAGCATTTATGAAGGCGTCGCGGATCAAAGCGTTGAGAGATATAGCTCGAGTAGGTGTTTGAAGGTAAAGATAGTCCTCGCCACTAGATTTAATAATCTCCAAGTGGATGTCCACTATGTCATCTGAATGATGATTCGAAGGCTTCAGAAGAATAGACTGTATTTTGAAGACATATACACTGTTTGGTTGTAGAGATGTGAGTAGAAACGAAGTTTTTGTCTACAATTAAAATTCCGTTTAGACCTAGATGTGTATGGAATTACATTTGGCTATCTTTGTTGTTCATAACCAGCCTACACGTATCTCCCTCCCCCTTGACTAGTATTTCCACTGAAATGTGAAGAGATAGATAATATGAACCAAATTTTTCATTCAAAACATCTGTCTGATAAGCTTTGAAGACAGCGCTGAAGTGCATTTACGATATACAATGTACTTACTTGACCCTCACACTTTAACCCTTCGTATTGTGCCCTAATCTCAAATTGCACTTTTAATCTTCTGAAAGTGATGAAGCTCAACTTACCTTTTCCAATATGAAAATACATTCATCGTTATTAGTGGCATAAATACAAAAAGGTATTTGTAGTCCTGCTTGACATAACTGGTTGGTAAGTTGTCTATGGCTCGAGGCGATGGTATATGACTGACCACAGACTTAGATGAACAGGACAATTAGATTCGTAATATCATCTCAACCGAAAACCTAGGAGTCAAATCTTTGTATCAGAACATTTCGCAGTAACTGTATCATTTTTCTGCTTTCTCATGATTTCAACACTTGTTGAAAGTGCTTTTTAGTAATGCCCTAGAATATGTTAAATACTTACAATCGGCAGAACCTTAGTTTGAGATTCAGTAGGATCGAGTCGTGGATAAGGATCTGCAAGAAGTCGAAGAATTTGTGGGTTCAAGTGCCTATCCATTGCTGGACCCCATGTCACCCTGTAGGAAAAACGCGAGAACGCGTTGCGGTAAATTGATAAAACAAACATTGAAATTTTAGGTAGTGAATAGCTATATATGGTTTAAGTATTTTTTTATATTAAATGGCAGGCGTTTTGATAGTTATCATTAGCCCTTTAGTTGGTGGCAGGCGTTTTGATAGATATCATTAGCCATTTAGCTGAGTCACTCAATGCCATAACATTTATTTATTTCAAAATATATATATATATATTTTTTTATATTAAATGGCAGGCGTTTTGATAGTTATCATTAGCCCTTTAGTTGACTTCAAGGTTCACAGAGGGAGAGGAACATCACAGCGAAAAAAGTCGAGTGATTTAAAGATGTAAAAGAGGCAGACACAAAAGGTAGATTAAAGGTGAGGTGAGTACTGCGGAAGTAGTCGAATATGGCAGAGTGGGGTGATGGTAGTTTGAACTCAGAAGTCAACTGCCGGTTTATAGACTTTTTGCCGTATGAGTATACGGTGTTCAGGGTGCACCACGTGGAGGTAAGTCTATCGCACACCATATAATTTAAGTAATTGGGCCTATATAATCTCTGATTTGGAAGGAGTTCTTTAAAAAGGTTATTTTGATGGACGATTGAACATGTCAAAATGATCTAAATCTTAATTCGGTGAGAGTTTCCATCATGAATCTGAACGTGGAAATGAGTTAAATGGAAGGCGAATTGTGGAAAGAAGTGCTTCTTGAGCTAAACAGAGCAGACGATTTGTTTGATAAAGAAAATATTTAATAATCGCTGAGGCATTGAGTTGTAGAAAAAATTTTCTGAATTAAAAGGCCATCGACTGAAGTAACTTCTCCGAATGTGGAGGGAATAACAAAGCAAAATCACTCGTTTTAACAGGCTTAAAGTAATTAATTAATTTCTTTCATCGTCCAAATAGCTATTACATAGATTAGTGGAGTTTAATGGAATTAAACCTCCATAACATAATTCTACTCGTTTGGAAATTTAATTCAATTACATTGTAACAATCTTATTAAAATAATTTACGGCATATTAATTCACCCTTTCGAATTTTTGATGTCAATGCAGATGAAAGGTTGCCGCGCTTTGAATGATTTGCAATTTAACTAGGGTCAGTTAGCCAAAAAATTAGCACTTTCGATTTGAATGAACCATGATACTGTGTTGAAAATTTTGTCTGAAACTGAGGATTCAAAAGCTCTGTCGATAATCACGGTAGCTGACGACAGCTTCCTTCTCATCCAAGGAATTAATGAGACATTAATGAGATATTCTACAGAAAATAGCCTTAATCCGATTGGCTAGTTGTCTAACCTGTAAAATATATCCGAAGGATTCAATTCCGGTTGTGTTTCCTGTCGTGGACTGCGAGGATTGCGGATAACTGTAGGTGGCCTCCATGACACATTATATACCAATTCCGACTCTGAGAGCAGTTGAGACTTCAAATCGGTCGGTGGTGATAGGTCTTCGCTATCTGAAATGAATGTGACGAAACAAAGTGTTATCATCATCATCATCAGCGCCAATTATGGCAAAAGCCCCTCTTTTTCAGTCACAATTAACTAGCCTTTTTTAGAGCACCTAAAATGCGTTGCCCAGGGTGAAGATTGATCATCGAAGCAAGCGGGAGTGCATAGACATCCGATGGGAATGGGAGGTTGTTCCGAATTCTGTTGATGCGAATTTTCATTTGATTTCCTCTTGTGTGGCGCCACAAAGATGCTGTAATGACAATTGAGCTGTAAAGAAGAGACCTCAACACGTCCAGTTCGTGTTAGTCGATCTTCACCTAGAATAGTCGCCGGCTGTACTGGCTCAAGCACAACAAAGCGGCAGTTTTCGTTTTGTGGTGATGATCCAGTGCCTGATTCATCCAGGGGTTTGAGAGGCATAAATGTCTTCGATAACTGAGAGCCAGTTTCTATACACGCTTGTTGTTTCCATTGGATTGTTAAAAGTCGTGGGGAGAGTTTTTCGCCTATAACATAGGAGGATTTCTTTGAATAAGGTGTTAAAACTATTTCTAAACTCTTGGAGGTTTAAGTGCATTGGTAACCACAAATTGTCAAGTAGAGCATTACTTAACACCGATATCTATAATTCCTGTTGACTAAGATGGTGAATATAAGAAATATAATCTACCACGTAGGTCTGTGAAACGTGATAGCTCATTTAGGTATAGGCTATATAGCAAAGAGGTTATCAATTGGAACAATTAATTTTCTTTTCATTACATAGAGAATACAAAGACGGTATACAATCCTACTCGTTAATCTTGCGACAAGGGGTGCGCGATAGAATTATCTCCACGTGATGAACCCTAGGCAACGTATACTCATAAACCAAACAATTCTACAGACAGGCAGTTGACATCTCACTTCAAACTACCATGACCAAAATTGTATGTCATATTCCACCACTTCCACAGTACTCACCTTTCCCTTTTTCATCTGTGAATCACTCTTCTGCCCCCCTCGACTTTTTGTGACTTTGATGTTCCTACCCTCTGTGACGCCCGAAGTCAACTAAAGGACTAATGATGACTATTGTAAAGCCTGCCATTTACTACAAATAAGCATTGTGACAAAGAGGGTTTAGTGATTTTATGTTTGAAAAGGTGTACCTTGACTCCATCTCAAAAATACATCAGTATGGGAACTTTTCAAACAATAGTCAAGTCAAGTCATGTCATGACGTTATCTAATTATATGTGAGAAACAAGGAGCCTATTTTGCTTAGCCCATTAGGAAAAATGTTCAAGTGAGTATCACCTCTCTTATTGACTTGGCTTAACATAGAGAAATCGGTCACTCATACAACTCCATGTGCTACGATTTGTTAACAGAGGGGTTCTTAAACGGAACTTCAGACCTAAAACAACCTCTTACCTCTAAGGAGTTGAGGATCCGTTGCATCAGCAAATTCATTCACAGTGAGAATCGTCTTTAGAAACTGACCATCGGAGACTCCTGGAGCGTTGGAGAATCGAATGGTAAGACCTCCGCCATTAGGTTGGGAAAAACGCAGTGGCTGAAAATTTGATGATATTTGGGGTCTGGTGGTGTCTCCTCGTGTCTTAACACTGTCACAACTGCATGCCACCTGCGTGTCACCACCTATGAATAAACAAGTGCCATAAATATGGTTTCGCAGAAATAACTTTGAATTGAGATGATGCAAGGATAGACAAGACTCTTTGAGGACTATTAATCCAAATGCTTTCTAGTGAATACATTTCAGGTACATACACAGTTTGACCAATCTAGTTTACCCACATGATGTCTTGCTGAGGAGTTGCAAGTTAATTAAGCGGTAGGCACACCTTAAATTCAAAAGTACCCCCCGACTCATCTTTTCCGAGATTCGTTTACAATTTGTCACAACAATGAACGGCCTCAAATCGCGATATGTAGCGAATGGAAGTACACAATTTCAAGTTTCCTCCATCTTTTGCAAACAAATTACGGAAAAGAGCTAACGGAATATTGAATTGGAAATAGTCATCTATGGAATACCCCCCTAATAAATCACAATTTCTCATAAATCTATCAAGTGACAAGTTACTTCTCGATTGTTCAAGAGGGAAGATAGGGCAATACCCACCATCTGCCCCAAACTCAACTCTTTATTAAAGGGGGTCTGTAATAATATCGTATAATAAATGAACGGTCCAGTAGAAAGCTCTCTCTAAGGCTACACAGATAAAATTAACCAATCGAGATTATGCAACCCCCCCCCCCTCAACGCCATATATTCATGAGTTATTAGGCTGATTTGTCATAAGAGGTGAAACTTGTTTCATCCGAACATCATTAGTAGCATTGTGTGTGAACGAGGGCCGTGTTAGTTTGATTAAAATTAGGAGATAACGTCACTGCTTTTTAAAACACTTTATTTCCCCCTTAACTCGAGTGTTAAACTCCAGCCGACAAAACGCCTAATTTAGTCAATAATAAAGCGTATTATTATTGAGATACTTCCATTCTTCGCCCTCTCAACATTCGTTGTTTGTTTCCGCCACCTCGTACTTGGGTTCCGTGCTGTGAACTACGAAAGGCAGTTCTGTTTGTTAATCAATTAACGTGATCTACAAAAAAGCTACGCACACACACACAGCGTTCCACACACTTTCCTACAGAGAGACCCCTAAAATCGGGAGATGCACTTCTGCCAAGACAGTTAAAATTCAGAACAACGCGCGACCAGTACATATATTTTTTTTCACTAGAAGGTTGACAAGATAGTTAACCAAGCCCGGCACAGGAATGATTAATGACTAGTTCCCACACTCCATGTAGCCTCGTAAAGCCGAAGTTATAGGAGGTGGTTGTCTCAACAAAAAAAATTGTAGGCTGGTTTTAAACCAACTGATCGTTGATCATTTGAAAAGACGAAACACAAAGACCCACAAAACGAATTTCTCAATTTAATTAACTGTTTAGCGCTAAACAGATAGTTTTCATCAGCCGAATATGCTTGTAATTGAGATTTCTGATTGGATATCGGGTGTGGGGGTGGGGCCAGATTCGTTATTTAATGCTATTATAATCGGCAAATTGTCTAGCCCAGAATGGAGTCAGTAGGGTGGTGTGGAACTTCTGTATTTTGCATCCTTCCTTCCTTCATTCCCAACCCCCCCCCCCGTTTTGAATAATCTTAGTAATCCAAGTGCTTTGATGGCATTAAAAGGGAAAATAATTATTTCCCTCTAAATGGTCAATGACGTATTTCCTGAGATGAACTGCTATTTGTCTTTTTTTCTAAAGTTTGAGTACAATCTACGATCATCATTCAACACACTCAATTTGAACTCTATCGTCCAGTCTTACCGTAGTCATGGTGACCCGAATTCTCCTCGGTGGATTGGCGATTTTGAGAGAAGGGTTCTCGCTTCGGTAGTCCCGGTGTAATGATAAAGTGTTTTGCTGGCGCAGAAGTGAAAGTTTTAGTACCCCAGGAGGAAATCGCTTGAACCTGCCAAAAATGTAACACAATTTTATTACTTTAAGATGGGCGTAATTGCAGGGTTTATGCATCTCTAACGGCCTCTTAACTTATTAGGTTGAGAAACACTTTAAACGAACGAGCACATTTAAACCATCAAGTTTGCTGGAGAAATAGACTAATTCTTGAAAATATTCAAGTAACTGCGTACGTGGCGGGGTTTGCGAATTCATATTTTTCTCTTAAAAATAAAAAATGAGTGTGCTTTCCACAGATTTATGCTTCGAGTTCCTTACCTGAATTTGGTAGGACATATTTGTCTTCAGATCGCGAAGAAGGTAATGTGTTTGACTCTAAAAATGAAAAAATAAGGGGTTATAAACCTTAAACCAACTAACCCAACATTTATTTCAGTCTCAATCGCTAATAAATAATCAGTAATTGGAATTTCAAGAGTTGTCTAATAACGAGGATCAGTGGGATGACTTCACCAACTGCCCACTCACTAATACCTATAGCAACTGGAGTAAACGATCGTTGGCAGGTGGATAAGACCGATGAATTTAATAGATCACACACAAAAAAACACCGCAAAGCAAAAATAGTGTTTAATCGAAGTAAGTATTTTCGCGAAGTCCAAGGATTTTGACAAGACCTATCCCGACCTTACAGGATGACTCCTTAAATGTCACTTTGTGGGATATTCAGAATGACCCGAGCCAAGTAAGTTAACGTAAGTATACCCAAATGGAGCATAGAACCCCACAATTGGGAATCCACAGCTAGAACATTCATTTGACCAATAGAAATTAAAAACAATAAGTCTACTTAGAGTAGCATTTAATTGCCCACATTTGATAGGGGGAGAGAGAGGATAGTGTCATGGTCGACAACCCCCCACCCCCTACCTCCACTTAAATTCACCCACCTTTGCCATAAACTGCACTAAATAGGTATGAGAGATCCATTCCGATCCTGAGTACGCGTTGGTCAACATCGAAGTCAATGTTATAAGTTTCGTTTAATAAGTAACACCTTTTATACAGTTACCTGGGCAACGTATACACATACGGCAAAAAAGTCTATTAACCGGCAGTTGGCTTCTAACTTTAAACTACTATGGCCTCTCTGTACGTCATATTCCACCACTTCCACAGAACTAATCTTATCTTTTCTCTGTCTTTGTGTCTCTCTGTCCCTTTTACATCTATGAATCACTCTACTGTTCCCCACCCCTCGACTTTCTGTTACTTTGATGTTCCTCCTCCTCCTCTCTGTGAAGCCCGAAGTCAGCTAAATTAAGGACTAATGATAACTATCAAAACGCCTGCCACTTGAAATAAAAATATATCCATATGATTGGCCGACGAATCGTAAAAACATCTCTCAGCAGATCTATGAATGGCAAATTGCAATGCGCATACACATTTCACCTTATGACTCAACATCTCAAATCAAAAAATCTCTTATCAAAAAGTACCGTTGGACAAGAAGAGAAGATAGATAGTGCTTGTTAAATTCTTCTCCCAAATTTGCTGCCTCTGGGGGGCTTCAAATTTACATGAAAACTACAACTACGCGAGTGGCGTTTTTTGTAAAATATCAAGTCTAAATTTATTTGCAACATTTATCGAGCTGCCCTACACGTGAAGGACTAATTGCGCGTCGTCAATCTTGGATTACCTGAAAGTTGTCTCTTGCAAGAATTTGAAGAAGATAATACGTTGACATTTCACACTCCACTTATTACACAGTAATGACGACGACAACAACAGCGGTCAGGTTTTGTTTTACAAAATGCCATAAACACCTACCGCTGGGACAATGTGAAGAGAGGTTGTTTTGTCAGCAGAGGAGTCATCGGGAGCGCATTGAATCTAGAAAAAAAATTGACAATTTTGCTCATTTTGACCTCTGTGATCAAATAGATCATCAATACAATGGAAATACCACCTTAAGAGCCAAACCCATGAAGTAAATCTTATAAACATTTTTTGTATAAAGTGGCAAATTTGAAGGCTTAATTAGTCGTTTTAAACTAATTTTAAGTAAGATGAGCCTACCTAACGGCGGGTTATATTTAAAATGTAATTTTTGCATTCATCGATCATCTTTCAAGTATTAGCATATTTTTTAATAGAACGCGTGACCTTGACTTTTGCGCTGCGGCAATATCTTACATGATATTCAGTGACTGGAATTACAGCTGATGCCGGTGTTTTCCATTCAATGCGGACATGAACTCCACCGTCAGCTTGAAACCTCCATGCGCCATCAATGAGTTGTCTCGGTGAAGAAGCTGCCTGTGGAAGTTGACTTGTAACCCGAACAGGAGGGGTAGTTGAATCACCAAACCCACGAGATCCATAGCGATTGACAGCTGCAATACGATATTGATACCACCAGCCAACATCTGGATCACTCAGTCGAGCTACTGGTATTGTGGTCTACAAGAAAGCATCATAATAGTCTGATAGAAACTACGACATGTGACATCGTTGTCATATAGCAATATCTGGTACTGCGGTGTACGATAGACTTACCTCCACGTGGTACAATCTGGGCAACGTACTCTCAAACAACAAAAAAGTCTATTAATTGGCAGTTGACCTCTGGCTTCAAACTACCATAACCCCACTGTATTTCATATTTCACCACTTTCACCGTACTCATCTTACCTTTTCTCTGCCTTTGTGTCAGTCTGTCTTTTTTACGACCTTGAATCACCCTTCTGTTCCCCCTCTCCACTTTTCTCACTTTGATGTTCCCCCCCCCCTCCTGTGAAGCCCGAAGTTAACTAAAGGCCCGATGATAACTTTCATAACGCCTGCCATTTGATATAAATAAATATCTGGTATTCGTATCCCAGTGGATTTCACGTTTCCTGTAAGGGCGAATTGATTGACTCACCATAGTTAAAGTTTTCCACGGATTAGCGTTCATAGGATCAAATTCAGGCCCAAAATATGTTCTCACTTGAAGGACATATAAAACCGGATCATCAAATGTTGCCCTATTTTCACCTCCAATGTTCCAACTGAGTTCAAACGACCTTGGCGTATTTTCTTCAGTTATTTGAGGAAGTTGAACATGCTGTGGAATGTCTGTTAAAGAAAAAAGAACAGAAGTAGAGGTAGGTAAAAGTGCAGAGGTATATGATTTAAGAAAGATAATGATTCATACCATTTCCGAAAACAGGCACCATACAGGCTCCAGAACAACACATTTTGTCACCAGCACAGTCTGAATCGAGAGTGCAGATAGGCGTGGAAGGGATATCAGGGGAATTTATCCAGTGCCTATTCTGCTCAGTTGGCATAATTGCCTCCGTTGTGGTTGGACAGTCACCAAAGCGATTTTTCATCGCTGTATCCAACTTCCGACATCCGGTGCGACAGACCCAGCCTTCTTGTAACTCATCAGGCTAAATGGGCAGACATGTTTAGTGTTTCTTTTATCTTTCAAAACTGCCGAAAACGTTTAGATGTGCATGCAACATATGCTAGTTAAACAAGACGAAAATAGAGTTGTTTTTCACTAAAAATAGGCATTTATACATACAAATTCCTTCGTTCTTACAACTACGCATTAAATGGTAACAGAAAGTTTCATGACATTATTTACAGTAGACAGTGTATCATCCACGACGTCATTTCTTGATCAATTAGCGCCTTAAAATCATCTTCGGAGAAATTTCTGATAAAATTTTAACGAATCCATTCAACCGACATCTCCTTCATAAATCATTTTATTTCAACTCCCAAACTCCCTACACCACCACCACCTCGGACTTTCAAAACAGTGAAATATTTCGACTTCTGGCGAAATTCATTATTGTAGGGTGCAACTAAATTCGTCCCACTAACTTTACCACCCTCTAAATCAAATTAAATTATTGTCGGATGATGGAGTTAATTTGCTGTAGGCCTATTGGTGGCGTTACTTTTGAAAACGCAAAATCTCTTTCCCCTTGTAATCCTCCTCCTCCTCCTCCCACCCCCACCCCCTCCTTCTCCCCGTTAATGTGATTAGATTTCAACGCCTCAGTTTGAATGGGAATTCAAAATGCTGTAATAGAGGTCGTAATTGGTAGAGGATAGTGTGCATTTTTCCGCCATGGATACTTGAATTTGTACTTTAAATAGCACATTGAAAAGTAGTACATTATTTTGCATACGCATCCAAATTTCACCCACTTTAAATTTACCGACATGTCCCCCTACTTAATCAATCGTGACTTTTAGGCAGTTCACTTTAATCAAACACAGTTAACAAAGCTAGCATTTCAAGCAACACTTGCGTGCCAAAGTGTTGAAAGTAATTTTGAAAGAGCTTAAAGACAGGTGACGAAAAGGTCACCGTATTAAGTGACAACCCATTCGGGAGATTAAACTGTGAAAATAGAATGATTTCCAGCAAATTTCAATGATTGAAATGACCTATTCTTCTCTCTTAAGAAGGATGATTCTTCTAGGTTCCTGTCTATCAGCTGAATCTTTGATTAAGACAACACATTTCTTCTTTAGAATAGTGAAGTACAAAAATCGTGACAAAAAAGGCCTACATTTCTTTATCTTGAAGTAATTTATCATGGCCTCCGTGAAATTGGCAATCTATGAGGTCAGAGGTCATAGTGCAATTACGGATTGGGACTAGTTGGTAAAGGGATGGAGAATATGAGTCTCTCCATAATGTTACCTTAATATCCGAGAAAATGATTCGTTAAATGTGTTTAAAAATTGTGGTCTTCCTTTCTATATTTTTACCTTCTAGCGTGGGATGTGCGATAGACTCACCACCCCGTGGTGGATCCTGGGCAACGTATACACATACGGCAAAAGTCTATAAACCGGCAATTGACTTCTGACTTCAAACTACCACCATCCCACTGTATGTCATATTCGACTACTTCCACAGTACTCATATCACCCTTTTTCTACCTTTGTGTCTGTCCCTTTTACATCTTTTAAACACTCTTCTGTTCCAGCCTCCCCCCCCCTCTCGACTTTTTTCACTTTGATGTTCCTTCAACTCTGTGAAGCCTGAAGTCAACTAAAGGGCTAATGATGACCACCAAAACGCCTGCCATTTGGTACAAATAAATTACCTTCTAGCGTTAAAATAGCCTACAATCTTCCGTCTTTCTGGGTTCTTTTTTATTCATGAAATCAAAATTTTATGAAGTTAGAGCAAATCATAAAAATTTCAAGGGCCAAGTGAATCAAATTTCACCTGAAAGCTTTTCACATTTGCCAATTATCAATTTGCGAACATCGCATGACCTTCAAATAAAACTGACCTCAAAACATCTTTTGTATTATTTGTATGCTACACTTGTTTCAACTCGTTCTCTCACTCGCTTTCCTTACATTATTTAAAAAATAGATATAATGACCTTAAATCTAGAAAATTAAGGAAAAAAATACTAACACAATTTAGAAAAAAAGTGTGCATTAACCGCAGAATAGCTTAGGGTCATAGATACATATATCAAATTATTAAGAAGGTTAATAAAACTTCGTGAAGAGGATAAAGCTGTGACATTCCTCTCTTGGATGTTCATTCTTCGCACCGAAATAATGTTACTGAAATTCGGTTTTTAAAGTATACCGGTGATAAGCTTGAAGTACACACACAAAGGCACATCATTCTTTATGCACATTTTGTGTTCAAACAACTGACTGGGGGGGGGGCTGGAACGTTGTCATAGAAATGTCGGCATATTTGCCCCCCCCCCCATCAAATCCATGGTGTTGGAAACAGGAAAAAAAATCTGGTTAAAGTCCTATCTCCTAGACATTGTGTCCACCTTACACCCCAGCCAACGTATTCATTTTGCCAAATGTAGTCGTGCATGTGAAATTGTTTTTGCGTTCATTAAAGCACTTACCTCGAGGCAACGATTGACAAGGCATGTGAGTGTAACTATTTGAGGTCATATTTGGCTACCGCGAGGTTGATTTGCACAAAAAAAAACTACTGAAAATCCGCTTGGAGTAACGACCAAGTGATCACTTGTGTGCAGTTGCAAGTCTTGCTGAAAATTTCCCAAGTCCATTAGGGGGGGGGGAACGCTAAGAGAGCTAGTTTTGAATAGGGCGATGACAAAAGCTAGGGACCTTTCAATTCGTTTGCTAAACAGGATTAGCCCGAATTATTTTTTGAAAAATCCACCCAACCACACTCGCGTGTCTCACAGCAAACTAGTTCCGCCGAATTGATGAGTTTTGGCGGTATCAGGCGAAGGCTATTGACACGTATTGAACATGGTTCAAGTGGCAGAAGCGCACCTTCTGTTACTAGTCTAGTATCGATGGGGCTCTATTTTGAAAGAGGGCTGTGCGGTCATGCAGGGCTTTAAAGGGTTAAAACTTGATAGACCTGAACGTTGATCAATGATCTTATTAACGCGTTCTATTCTACACAGTCCCAATGGAAGTAAAATGCCTTTCTTTTTTTAAGGTTAAGTAAATTGAATTTCAATAGTAAATTGGTGATACACCAAGTACTTTCTAGACTTATGAGTAAGTGCTAATTCCACCAAAGAATTAGATTCACATGAAGACAATGCTTTCAACTGCTATAAATATTAATGAAAAAAGGGATTGGATGATTCATGATTCACTAGGTGCCTCGAAATTACATGAACGACACAAAAAATTGCATTCAACAACACCTTAGCCAACTTTCCCTTTACAGCAAAAATTTAAATCAAGGAAAAACAAACAGATTTTACTTAAATAGTTAATTAGTATCCAGCGTTTTCCCAATACAAAAATTACTACTTACCGCACATTGTTGTACGCATTCCTTGTAGGGTAATCCGGTGTCACAAGCGCGTTCACACTGGAGGAGAAAAAAGGAGCGTAGAAGTGGAAGTGGAAGGAAGGAGAAGTGAAGTTGAAAATTGACAAAAATATTTCCAATTAAACCGCCTGGCAGGGTACAAATTCTTCTCCGCGCGAGAAGGGAGAGAAGGAGGGAGGGAGGGAGAGAAAGGGAAAGAGAGAGGACATACTTACCCCATTGAGATTAATTTGGTCGAAATAAGATTCCAAATTGATTAAACTGTCAAATGGAGCTTGGGGGCGGATTGAGTTTGCGTGTAGAGGGGATATTGACAAAAAAATTGATAAATTGTGTTGATTTGCTTTTTCTACCATGGTGGGATACAATTAGGTGAAGGCGAACATTTTGCCAAAATATAACTACTTATACAAATTGCTTGAACAAATATACACCCCCGCGATAATGAATTTGATTGATCGTCTTTAAAGAGGACGTTAAGTAGAGAGATAATTGAATGGAAATTCGTATCTTGACTCCGCTTTTTTTGGCTATGAATGAAAACTTGTTCCGGTCTAACTATATTACCACGAAATTGTTCCCATTTACGGTCAATAGCTTCCTGTGGAGATTAGTATTTTTTGCCACGGCTTTCTACCATCTTTCGGACCTGGGGAGGGGGGGGGGGGGGGGGGGTAAATATTTTACTACCATCTCTCCCCCCCCTCCTCCCTGTCCCCCGTAAAAGCTTCAGCATTTCCCCTGTTGGGGGGAGGGGAGTCAAAGCTTGTAACCTGTCATTCGTGGAAACAACAGGAGAAACCCTCTAATTAGGCGTCCTGTTTCCGTTCGCTGTTTCGCTAATTAGTAGTAGGAACGGGCAAGTGCTACGGCTGTGGGGTAAATTTGGACAAGATCACTCGACAATAAATGTCACACAAGAGGGGTCAACAAACTGAAGGAGGGGGGGGGGGGGGGGGAGTGGGGAAGGGTAGGAAATGGGAAGAACACCTTAAGCTAAAAGGGTGACGAGGGCTTTACTCACCTCATTGTAGAAGATGTAGGCTGGAGAAAGTCGTCGACACTCCGACTGCACATTGACAGGCGTTTTCTTCAACTCCTCAAGGACTGTTCTGGCCTACAATTTAGACAAATTCTCCCCCTTTAAAAGCCATTCAATCTGGGATGTTCTTCAAATTCATGCGCAAATTTGGCCAATTTACTAATTATTAGTTTAGATTTTCTTTCATTTCGGGAAAATCGATTGTACAACTCAAATCAGTTTTGCCGCACATCTGAAACAGTACCAATGTGTTTTATTTCACGGAAAGTAGGGTCATTTAATACACATTATGGTACTGTTCAGTTCGGTGAATTAATTATAAGGCCTACGCGATACGCATGTATTAGAACGATTAAAGTATAGAACATCCTACTTCGATTTAAACGGAAATTTAACATCCACTTCATGTGCTATGATGTCGGCGTTGCGTAGGGAGGAGAAAAAGTAGAAAGTTGTGTATAGAGATCTTAAAATAAGACGTGAGTCACTGTTTCTGGTCTACTATTTCTTCCTGCCCGTGTTGCGATCTCCTCCTGGAATTCAATAATTCTACGATGGCGGAGAGATAAATTTCAAGTATTTGCTAACTTGGAATATACAGGGTTTTTCTAATCAATAATCTAATAGCAGGGATCGAGGTCTGCTTTTGTCCTATTTCATGAAAAGTTAGCGCAGAGATCAAACAGGATGTGACAATACCTGCGCATTTCCATAAACCACGCTCCAATTCCCAAAATCATTTTTTCAAAAGCAAAACTGTGGGGGGGGGGGAGGGGGTGAGCGGATAACTGAGAGATGAAAGGATCAGAGTTAGAAGATTCCTTCGGATTTAATAACTATTATAGCTGATTTTTACGGCTTATTAGAGCAAGGAGGAAAAGCGCAAATATTGCGACGTCTTAAGGGTGAAAAATGCACTTTCTTATTCAATGCTTTTTTTCCCTGCCAGAGATACCAGGCGGAACATTTGGTCATATGCATCAACACAATTGAAGGAGCCGCTGAAAATAGATCAAAATGCAATTACTTTTCGCCTATTGTTTTGTAGTGAGAAGCTTAGATAAAGGAAATTTGAATAATTGGGTTAACTTTAACAAGGTTAGTTTGTGTGTGTGTGTGTCTGTGTGTGGTGTGTGTGTGTGTGGTGGGCGTTCATTCATTCATTCACTCTACCACTTGTGAAATTTTCTTCATAATCGCCGAAGTTCAGCAATAAAATTTGGCCCCCCTAAATTTCATAATCAGTGTGACCAGAGGCCAAGAATGATTATTATCGAGAAGACCACGCCAAAGTGTTTCAACGAAACGAACCTGCTGTGTTTTAAAACAACGATTATTGGGTCCCCGCCCCCTAATCTCAAGGCGGTTAGACTATCGTACGATTTATAGAAACTGTTACAAATGCTGTCATTTATTACGCAGTTAATACCAGAGTGAAATGAAAGAAAGGCCAACTTTGCGCGGCCACTTCGACATGGCTTGATTAGACGGACAGCTGAAAGTCTCAACAAAGGCTACCCTCACAGTCCACATTAAGACCAATTAAAGGCTTAAGTGTCATTCTCTCAGTGGTGATAGTCAGAATACGGTGGTAACAGGCTCGTCAATTGACATTGCACACACACTAAAAAGTTACTTCAAGAGGAAACAGAGAGATAGTACTATTCATCATTATTTCATAGATTGTAATGCCTTATTTCAGTGGAGTTAGCCGTTAGCAGCAAAGACAATCGCGAATTATGAGAGCATTGCAATTCTCTTTAGATAGCAAAAAAATCGATTTACCAAGCCCAATAAGAGAGGCACGTTCACAAGGACTTGATTTGAGTGGAGGAAACGTATCGCGTGAGAGACCAGAATTAATTAGGCCAGTGGTGTGACATGACCACTGAGCCGCCAACGCACACGAGATCAAAATGTTGGGAAGCATCTCCATAATATCATCGGTATCCTAGAGTAAATTATCTCTCCTGCCTTGGTTCTAACTAACTTAACTGATAAATGTGCTTTTCTACTTCTTACAAACGGTTTTAACTTAGCAACCCTTCACCACCTCCTGTCATCGTAGTCTGTTAAGCTGTCCCAACTTCGCTTCCATTGTTATAACCGCTTACAAAATGGAGGACTCCATTAGTTAAGACGGGATGACAAATAGCTTGGCAGTTTATAGGAGAAAGTTAACTTGCTACTGTCTGGTTGGGAAGGCGCAAATACTAGGACAAAGTGACGTTGACACCTACTCTCACAAGCGTGTTAACACCACAGCAGACAAAAAAAGACACGCAAAGAACAAAAAAAATGCATCCCACAGGATGACGCACGCCTGTGTCTCGGAGTATGTCCCCGGAATGGTTACTTACACAATTAAATCAAATTTTGGCAGAAAATGATGAGATGAAATATGGGTGCATGTGTTCTCCTACTTCTAGACGTGTGCGCTGAAAATTATCGATTTTTTCTTTCACTGTGGTTTCAACTGCTAATTCTATTATACTATACTGATAAAACAGGAACGATAGGATCTGGGGCGACAGTGTGTTGAATAAGATTAGTAATTCAAGAGGATACAAAATGTACCAGGAAGCACGAATAGAGAAATTAGCCTGTTTAAAAAAATAATAAAATAATAAAACCAAAACGACTTCTAGGTATCATTCCACAAGACCGCATTGGAATCAGATAATTTTTCAATAGAGAGGCAAAGGAACAAGCACATGATCCTTCTCGAAAGTGGAAGTACAATAATGAGGCCTAGACGCAGAAGTAGATTGAAAGACTACTAAGTTCGAAATGATTGGCAAAGTACGGAGATTTGATCATTCCATCGTAAAGACTAAGTGCTATATACCAGTCCTTATTTAAGGGAGAATTAGTCATAGCTTTTTCATCCTAAACCCTGACATCGAAAATTTGTTTATTTTGGTAAATTTTACACCACCTAGTGGTGGGTGAAATCAGACACTAGAGTTTATAACAAACTCTATCATAATCTACTCTATAACAATCTACCATCACCCCACTGTATGTCATAATCGACTTCTTCCACAGTACTCACCCCACCTTTTCTCCCCCTACCTTTTGTCTGTCTTTGAAACATCTTTGAAACACTCTTCTGTTCCCCACCCCCCCCCTCTGGACTTTCTTTCACTTTGATATTCCTACTTCCCCTCTGTGAAGCCCGGAGTCAGCTAAAGGGCTAATGATAAATATCAAAACGTCAGCCATTTGAAATAAATAAATATTCAAAATGTTGGTGAAATAATTGAATTCATGGACCTGTGAGCCAACTAATACAAGTTGCTCATCGGAACACCGCAAACTAGGTAGTCAATAGACAACACACTTTTTTATAATTCAACTAATATGCAATTATCGAAATCCAGACCTCACAATTTACATCTCTTCTATAAAACTGTGTATAAGTTTGTATAATTAGCCAGCTCAACAGGAATACATCTATATTAAGAGGATATATTGGAATTTAAATAGAACTCCTTGTGGATATAAATATAACGGGAAGCCGAAAGATTAAGAATGCAAATAGTGAATGTCAATAACAGCTAAAAAGCAAATATAGCCATAAAACGAAATAGTAACCTTTCAAAGTGCTTAAAACGGGAGTTAAATTCTCCGCCAACGCAAAATTCATCTTTAAGCCACCCCCCCCCCCCCCCCCCCCCCCCCCCCCCCCCCCCCCCC